TTCAGATTCGAGGACGAATCCTTTTGAAGAGGGAGGGGATGATATGATCCAGGAGTCGAGCCCGACGAAGGCAAATGCGAGACGAGACCCGTTGATAGTCGATGGTGGACCAATGACGCGATCAAGGGCAAAGCAAGTGAAACAAGCAATGTGATTGCTCGTTCAAGAAACTATTGATGGAACCATGTTCGGGACTCAAAATGGGACAAGTTTCGTGCTCGGGTCGAAGGCCGAAACAAAATGGATCAATGCGTTACAAGCAGTCGAAGACGACAGTGGGCAGTGTAACCATGCGGCCGCATGGTGTGACTGCACAGCATGATATCGAGAATCAAATGGCCAAAATTCTATTACCATGCGGCCGCACGTGTTTTAACCATGCGACCGCATGGTTCATTTCTGGGCGCGATTTTTCTTTTTTCGCGTTTTTCCTTATTTTACTAGAATTTCATTCTTAATCAAACTCCTACTATATTGGACGAATATTTTAGGAATTTTGTTAGATTATTAGAATTATATTTCCTTTTTGACTCCTATTCGAGGAATAGTATAAATAGGAGAATATTTTTTCATTGTAAAAAAACCTTTGAACTTTGACTATTGCTTCATATTATAGAGAGAGAATTATTCTTTCAATTTATTGTTTTTCTTGAACAATCTTGGAACTTATCAAGATTCAACTTCTTGTGGCGTTCTAATCAATCGGATTGTGAGTTCTTTTAATTGTAATTCAAGGGGTTTTAGGTTCTTCACTAATCTAAGGTTTCTTGGTTCAACTCTTGGGGTTCGAGATCCAAAACCGAGTTAGTATTGGCGTTCTTGGGTCTTGCATCAATCTCGTTGTGGGTTTCGTAGTTTCCATTGCTACGGGGTTCGCATCAAGTTGTCTATGATCATTCAAACTCTATAGATTGGACCCTCTATGATGGTTTAATTCAGTCCAATTACATGCAATCAATGCTTGCATTAACATTGAATATATGGCAAAATTTTTCCATCAAATTTGTTCTTCATTTTCATACATAAAGGAGTACAAAACATTGTTCAATTCGCTATTTCTTGTGATTTGAAGTACTAACATAACAAGAATTTATCATCGTATCTTGGGAGACGATTGTTAATGCACAATCTATACTTGTGCGAGGCAAATTTGCCTTAAAGACAAAGAGTTCAACTCTTGTATTAATCTTCTTGCATTCCAAATTCTAAATTTGTGTTTGTCCAGGTTTGTATTCATTTATCGGATAGGTTTGTGTTATTATTCATCTCATTCAATTAAAAAATCACTTCATCACAATTTTTATAACAATCTTAAAAAGAATTTTTTTAGTGATTTCTTTATTTAATTTCTATTTTACTCAATTAAACATAAATTCAATTTTGGTTTAATATTTCTACTCTCTCTTGATCTTGTTAAAATTTGAATTAATTCTATCTTCTATTTGTTTAGAAATGACTAGCGTTAATGATACTAACGATATTACTTCGGTTGTCATTTTTCTGATTATCATTCGTCCAGTTAAAGTTCTCCTTACTACCTTTTATCAACTTTGGCGTCGCATGGAGAGAAACTGAAAAAATAAATTATAAATAAATAAAAATAAAATTGTGGGAATGATTTAAAAAAATGGCAACACAAGATGTTGTTCTATCTAACAATCCTCAATTTGAAAATTTTTGGAATGAAGATACTCCCACTGCGCAAGAAGGAGAAAACAATAGGGCATCATTAATCGTATTGGATGCTTAGAAACATTCAGACTCCTTATGTAAGAATTACACACTGAATCGTTTGGATAAATACTAAACATGTGTAGTTTCGTGAAATTTGCTAAGAAGTTACGAGAATCCTTGAAGAAGCCAGAACAAAGAAGTTCATCATTGGAAAATTCTTGGACTAGAAGATGGTAGATTCAAAAATAGTGATCTATCAAGTACAAGAGCTACAGCTTCTTTTCCATGACATTCACATTGATAACATGTCTCTAAGTGCAACTTTTCAAGTGGCTATTTCCACCCACGTAGAAGGACTTCAAGAACTATCTCAACCCATGTAGAAGAACTTCAAGAACTATCTCAAATAAAAGTGAAAAGAGATTAACAGTGAAGAACTAAAAGTTCAGTTGAGGATTGAAAAAGATAATTGATAGTTGGGCAAATGATTGGAAGCCAAATACAACAAGCAACCGCAAAAGTGGTAGAGATCAACACAAAGAGAAAAAGAAAGGAAGCATTTTGAGGAATCCTTCAAGCAAAGAAACAATTGGTACAATTATGGAAAAGCTGGACATCGTTTATGTTCTACTATTCATGTTACTTTTCATGCACATTTTCTAATCATTCATGTTGCTATCTATCCTTGGTGACAAAAAGTCTGCCAATTGGTGCGAGATTATTTTAATGTTGTCTTCGTTAGTTTTTATTCTGCCAAATACTTGTGTAATGAAAAAGTAAGAAAAATAAAAAGGACAAAAAAACAATTGTCGGTTGTCGATTTACCTTAGGTACTCCATTTTTTTAATTATTAAATGTTATTTTTATTTTGCTTTGCTTGTATATCGAGTATGTTAAACTATATTTACAGAAGCGCTTTAGGAAATATTATGATGCGATTATGCCGTACTTTAAAGCTATCTTGATAAATGCTATCAACAAGTTTAACTTCATGTTTAGTGCCAAAGCCATGGAATGCTTTTGGACAGTTTGGAAATGAGAACTTCAAAAAGGATGTCAAGCAAGTAAATAACAATAAACTTAGTATTGGCTATGTTTCTTACTGAATTTAATATATTATTTCTTATTACTTGGTAATCAATTGTTTGTTCTTTGATTTCTTTTAGCTCATACATCAACTCTTTGTTCTTTATAAACAACTCATGCTCTAATTTTTTAACCAGCTTATGAATTTTTTTCACGTTTACAAATAAATTTATTGAAAATTTACGTACACTTATTTTTAACATTAACTAAATAACATGCAGCACATGTTAACCCCAATTGTATTAAGGAAAAAAAGTAAAGGAAGACATTTTCCCTAACCTCTGCCTCTTGTGCTTTTCCGGTTGATCTTCCAAAATTTCGGCAGTCAATCTTCTTTCAACATTGTTTTTGGTGTTTCTTGGTCCGACCTCCAGAAATCTCCATCTGAGGTAACTTCGCAGCTTCGATTTAGGTTTTGTTAAGTTTTAGATGCTCCAAACTCTTGTCAATCTATGGGATTTTGTTTAAAAATCAAGGCTGAAATCTTCACTAGGACAGTCCAAACTTAAACACATTCTTCCTTTTTGTTGCAGCCAGTTGTAGTAGACCACCTCTTGACTGATTTTGTTTGTTCTTTTTTTTCTTCTAATTAGGTCTTTATTGTGGACAGAAAAATGGTTACACTTTATCTATTCATTTCTCTTTCAAAAATTGATCTTTATCTTTTTTCCCTTTAATTTCCGTAGGATTTTGGATAACCGAATCTAGAGTTTCTACACAAACACACTTGCTGTCTTTCCTCCAGGTTAATTTATACCTCATAATTTTTGCATGAAATGTAATAATTTAATGTACAAACTATTCGTATAGATAATAGAAATTGTTTTTCTTCATTTTTTCCCCCATGGTTTTGTCGTGGTTGGACTCCAAATTCAGCTCCTCCTTAACCGTAACTCGTCGGAAGTTGATCTCAGCTAAAGTCAGCTGAGTGTTAACAACTTAAATGAAGAAAAACAGAAATTCGGGTTGGGAAAACGATGTAAAATTGAGAAGAGATGAGAGAGAAAATGAATTGAAGAATCAATCCACCATTTACTGAAATTGCATAATAGAATTCGACAGACCAAATCCACTTTGCACATGGAGATTGATATGCCGCTCTTAGTTAAAAAATGTTGCTTCCCTTCTTTCTCTTCCAAACCGATTTTCTTCTTTTTCTTTGCTGACCTCTTCCCTCTCTTTCCGTCGACTTCCTTCATAACAGATTTTTAGATAAATTGGGAATGGCTACTGGAATAATCGGCAAGTACCTCTGTAACAATCTGCAGGTGCGCTAAAACGACCTCTCGGTGAATATTGTAATCAATTGATCAACTCTTGATTTTTATTGCAATTTTTGAAGAGTTGGGGAAAAATTGTCAAGGGTTGGACATTTTTAACGATTAAAACAAGACCTTATCTCATTCTTTCCATTCTATTAAAAAAAATGAAGGGGAGCTTCACATACAGAAACACATCGACGGGCAGCAACGAAAATCGGTAGGAAAATTCAGCAATGAAGTGGCAATCAGAAGCATAATTACATTTATTTCCTTGCTTGGAATTAATTACCTGTTTCGGCTACAACCAGGTAAGGACGAAGATTTTTATTTACAAGAATATATTATGTTTATATGTGTGTATATGTACGTATACATGGTAAGGAAGCAGATAGTAGAGAGATGAAGGGCTGACAGAATCTGTATGAGCATTTTGAATCAGAATTGGAATCTGGTGCATAATTAGGAAATTATTGAACTGAGGACAGGTTTTTCTTAAGGCGGATGGGATTACATAATCTAAATATATGAACTCATTTTTAAGTAGGTGAATTTGCAAGATGATTAAAGAACAGGTAATCAATATTAAAATGGTCTTGGCCAGATTTTCATTGGTGTACAAATTTTGTAGTAATTGAGAAGAAAATGAATAGGCGATCTTGAAGTTGAAATGGGTTTGGCATTACATGTATAAGAGTGGGTATTTTTACTTTTAATGGTGGAATACAGAAGAGGAGAAATTCAGGAAGGAAAAAAAACGATTTGGGTTGTGATTCAGTGAAGAAAATGGGATTAGGCATTCAAATGCTTCAGTTAAGGACTAAGAAGGTGGGTCTTAGTGGCTGATTACTCTCTCTTTTCTTCCACTAGCATAAACATTCAACAAATCTCATTTATAACTGTTTTCCTTCAGTTGGCAGTTTGAATAGTCAGTGTTTAAGAAAAAATAAGATTTAGGACATAGAATTACAAATTGGGTAAATGGCGGAATTTTTCCTTACAGGGCGGTACGGTAAGAAAGGAGGAGAAATGTGAAATTGAAACAAGAAAAATGAATTGAGTAGTGGACTTCAGTGAGCCAAGTGGAAAAGAATTTAAATGAGGAATTACATTAGATGGCAACTCATTGTTTACCATGATTGGGCTTTTAATTCAAGTAATTATAGGAGGAAAACTACAAATTGCAACCTAAATAAAAGGCTAGACATACTTGAAACGATTCTTGAAGGGCTAATTGTTGTCTCCATTGATAATCCACCTGATGATGATGCCAACATTGCAGATACCCCGAAGATTGCTGCTGCACCTCCCCTCAGACCTCAATCCTTGAGACTCAAGATGCCCAATGCAAGCACGAAGACACTGTCCTCAAGCTCCAATTGTAAAAAAATGTAAGAAGGATATCCAGTAAGTTTAAAATGTTGTTGAAGCACAACGTTTTATGATTGGGAAAATATGTACAATGTCATTTTGTGTACCATCCTAAATATTTTTGGTTGATGGTACAATTCGATAATTGGATGCAAACTTCAAATCGATATGACGTTATTGTTGTTTCATTAGTGACATGTTGATATTGATAAGACTTAGTATATGGTAATCAAATTATTGTGGTTGTTCTTGTATTGTATTGTTACCATTGTCAAACTATCGTTATTGACAAATGAAATCTCAAGCGTTGAGATTAACAGGTGTTAAACATCGAGAATTGCACTTCAAATGTCAAGAACTTTGTAAAACGTAGAGAACATTCGTGTATGGAGCAAAATCTTGTTTTGGACAAATGAAGTGTCACAAATCGAGACAAATAGGGTCCAACCATCGATAACAACTTTTCAAATGTCGAGAACGTCATGAAATATTAAGAACAAATTTAAATTCATTAACCAAAGGTTAAAATGATAACAAGATGAAATGTTAAGTTAAACGATAACAAGTGGACAAACAAACTCCTCGATATGATTTAGATACTAGGTATGTAATAACTACAGCATTGCATTGAGATGATGACTATAGCATTGCCATGAGTTGACAAGCACAATTTCTCAAAAATATGAATTGGTTTCAATGTTAACAAGTCTATGAAGCAAGGATATAATAACTACAATATTGCATTTTGGTGACAAGCACGAGGTCTCAAACCTATGTTGTCAAACAAATGTCAATCAATTGTAATTATATAGAGTAGGAGTTGGTGTGTAGCCTTTTTAATGCAATTACACATGTTTTACTCCTCTTTTGTAAGTATGGTTATGGCTTCAAAGACAATGTTTAATCATACTTCCTTACAAAACATTACTAGTAGTAAGAACTTCTTCCTTACATTATGTCTTCGTCTACTCAACAAACTCCTCATATTGATTTTGATATTAATTTCTCCCCACCAAGGCCGTGTCTTCGGTGGACAATTTATTAACAAGCTCTTCATATCTAATGTCATTTCAAATAACAATTGATGTTGATCGGTTTTCAAACCACTTCCACTCGTTGTCCATGTTGAAGAATGTACCACCGTGCAAGACAACGCATTTCATAACATCTCCCATACCTGCATGCCATCAACACAAATAATATTAGCTAACACACGTATACCAAAAGCAAACATGCTATCCACACACAATATGTTTAACGCTAAAAACAAAAAGTTCCATAGCATTCTTAAATTTTTAACATTATTCTCGACATTTGAAACAGTGTCACGGGTTAATTTTAAAGTGTCATTCTTGATATTTATAAAAATGTTGAGAAAACACTTCACCATGTGCATTTATCTTTTTCAACTTGAACCACCATTTTTGCAAAGAATTTATTCCACCATTAATGATATTGTCAATATATAACTAGCTTAAATTCCTATCTATCAAAATTTTTTAAGGTTGTCACACAATGTTTGTTCCAATCTTGCATCAAATATGTACCAATTGTTTGGATAATCTAATGCATTTAATCAAATATATAACAACAACTATTAAACACAATTTATCAACAAATATAAGATTTCAAAGAAAAAACTATCTTCTACTGAGAATTGTGGAGAGTCTAATCAACTCTTGCAAATTTAGATGAGACTAAATTTTTCGAAATGAAATTATATAATTTTCTTATGAGTTTTAAGGATATAGTTCTTATTTATTATTAATGGATTTTCATCTTCTTCATTTTTTTCCAAAATAATTGGTCAGTATCTAATATATAATGTAAGCAAATGAACATATTAGAACATTTCCAGAAAAACTCTCTATTTTTAAAGAGCATATTTTATTATTTGGAGTCAAAATTTTGAAATACTCCAACAAACTCTTTATATTTAACAGTTCATTTTACTACTTTCCAAAAATATTTACTATTTTTCTCTATATTTTATTTTGACTAACTTTTCTCTAGATTATTTTATTATTTTCCTACATTAAAAATTGAAACACTTTGAATCCACTTAATTATAGAGAATGAGTTTGGCTCTCTGAATTTAGAGAGTCAAACCCACTCATTAAATTATAATATTTATTTAAAAAGTCTCTTGAAGTATGATTTTAAGAGTTGGTTTTTTAAAATAGAGAGCGTCTCATGTTTAAAGAGTCTTTTCAAGATGCTTTTAGGTAATAGCTGGTATTATTGTAGCATCTCATGGAAGCTACTTGTTCTTCTCGAAATTGGTGACAAATTCAAGGAAAAAATTTGCTTCACTTTTCATTAAGGGTATAACAAACAAAAGAATAATTTTATTACCACTATGAATTCTATTAACTACACCACAAATTTCTTATTTACTTAAATATCCTTTAGTAAAATTACATAATTAGGAGTTTTACTATATTTTTTAATTAAATAAAGTATTGTTATGCCACAAATATGAAATCTAATTTCTTTCTTTCTTTCTTTCTTCTCAACATCTCATTGCTCGTAGCTTTTTCAATGGCTTTTGCTTGCTTCCACGATGGCAAGATATTTTTCTTTTCCTCACATAATTGAATTTATACTATATTTGACTATGTATGACTGATGAATTTTTTCAGTTTATTTGTCAAGTTTGAAAATGAAGAATCTGATTTTTTATTAATTTGAGCTGATTTATTATGAATTTAAAACAATCAAAAGCGTGCAAGTCTATTATCTTCAATTTATTATGAATTTAATATGACTATTTTCAAATTATTATTTAGTATGTTTTGTATCAATTTATGATGAATTTGCGTGTATTTAAGTATGATTCTTTTCATGTTTTTAAGTGATACATATCATATTTATATA